GGTAGAAGGTTCAAAGGAGAAAGGATGCTTACCATTAAAACTCCATTTCTTGCTGATGAGACCCGTCAGATAGATCTGACAAGACTTAGACAATTTTGGGTTCGGTGTTGGGAAAAAGAGCACCCAACTTCCCTGTCTTGGAGGAAGACCAATCAGGACCTTCCATGTCTTGAAGCTTCCAACCTTCACCATGTCTATCTGGCCAACGTCCCAAGATGGAAGGTGCTGAGAACTTCTTCTTCTTTGGTCTTTGGTGATGATGAGAGGAATCCGCCTCTACTCCATCTGTTGTCAAGGAAGCCACGGGAAGGATGTCCTCTTTCTTTCCAGGTGAGTCAAAAACCCAACAGGATATCTCATAGAGGTTGGCAGGGGTGGGGTTTCATCACTGGTACCCATAGAAATGAACAGGTGAGGAAATAATGGAAACAAGGGGAGGAGGTCACCATAATCTTTCTACCCCAAAAAAGGAACAAGCTTTGGAGCCATGCATGGTTGATCTTCTAGCGAAGGGGAACTACTCTGGCTCTTCTGAGGACACTCAACTGTACCCCTAAGAAATCTCCAAGCCCCATGTTCCCCTCCTCTCCCCTCCCCTATTCAGGGGTGAAATGCTACCGGTTCGCACCAGTTCGGGCGAACCGATAGTAAAAAAAAATGCTACCAGTTCGTCTGAACTGGTATTTCTGATGATCAGCTGTTCTGCGCGATTTATATTCGCTAGAGAGGAGGAAATCCTACTTTCTAGCGAATCTAAATCGCGCGGCACAGCTGTTCCCCTCCCCCCACGCCCCTGTTCAACTTACCTTCTTAAGCCTCCTTTTCCCGTGCTGCGCGGTCATGCCTGTGGTGCGCATGCGTGCGTTTGGTGTGTACTAATGCATGCGCGCATGTGCGGCACGCACCACACATTTGCATGCCGCGAACCGGTGGCAAAACTCGGAGGGTTTCACCACTGCCCCTATTTAATGGGTTTGGTGAAAACGGATGCTTGGCTCAAAGGTTCGAGGGTGTAAATTTTCATCCCTTTGCAACTCTACTTGTGCCAGCAGCAAACAAAGCCTGCACCTTCTTGAAAAGTTTTTCAGTTTTATTTCTTATACCCGCTGAAGATACCAATTTATAGTTGATTTTCTCCAAGTATCCAGAGACGGGCCCAAAGTAGGTGACTTCAAAGAAACAGGCACAACAATGGCAGTTGTGGGCTTCTCCCTGTTTAAACTTAGAAGAAGAAATAAAAATAGAAACTCAGGCCTATCCAGACCCCTCTCTCCTCTTGGGGGGGGGTTTCTCTTCTGAAGTACCCCAAATCTTCCTTCAAAAGGTTGGGACCCATTCCTCACTTTTGCCCACCTCCACAATTCTGGAAGGGAGAGGAAATGGAAGGGCATCCCAGCAACCCCAGAGTCCCCCCCCCATTCCCCTTCCCTTTGGAAAAGGCTGCCTTTTCCAAAGGGAAGTGGGGGAGAGGAAGGGGAAGTAGGGGAGGAGAGGAGAGGAGGAGGAAGAAAGTAGGAGAGGAGAGGAGAGGGAGGGAGGGGAAAGAAAGAAAGAAATAGGAGAGAAAATTGTGAAAAGAGGGAAAAGAGAGAGTAGAAGAGCAATCCCAAATGTAACTAAAATGTCTTATTTTTACGCTTTCATTAGGAAAAAATATTCTCTCGCATATATATGAGAGAATGTACATTTACAATATGTGTATAAGAAATAAAAATAAAAAACTTTAAAAAAAAAGAGGAAAAGGCTGCCCAAAACATAACAAAACTTTAACCTGAGAACAGGGGTCAGCAACCTGCGACTCTGGAGCCACATGCGGCTCTTTGGGCCCTGTGCTGTGGCTCCCTGTCAGGTGATCCCGCCCCTTGCTTTCCCCTCCCAGTCACTCCACGCCTGGCCTGAGAAGATAAATGCGACGGTGGGGGATGGAGAAATGGCCAGCGCAGAGACAGAGAGATACAGAGAGAGGGGTGGGGAGAGAGAGAGAGACAGAGAGAGATACAGAGAGAGGGGTGGGGAGAGAGAGAGAGAGACAGAGAGATACAGAGGGGGGGGGGGAGAGAGAGAGAGACAGAGAGAGATACAGAGGGGGGGGAGAGAGAGAGAGAGACAGAGAGATACAGAGGGGGGGGGAGAGAGAGAGACAGATACAGAGAGGGGGGGAGAGAGAGAGAGACAGAGAGATACAGAGAGGGGGGGAGAGAGAGACAGAGACAGAGACAGAGAAAGATACAGAGAGAGAGGGAGGGGGGAGAGAGAGAGAGAGGGAGGGGAGAGAGAGAGATGTCAAAAGGATTTTGTGGTTCCCGGTGTTTTTTAACAACTGCCCTAATGACTTGCTGGGTAGGCGTGGCTAGGGGGAGAGCCATGTGACTGGTGGAAGTGAGTGACATCGAGTTGGCCACGCCCACCCAGGTTTTGTGGCTCCCGGTGTTTGCTTTTCTGTGGGAAACGCATCTAAATGGCTCTTTTGAGTATTTAAGGTTGCAGACCTCTGCCTTAGACTGTCTACTGGTGACCTCGCCCCATCCCTAAGCATAAGCGCACCTCCCTGTCCTATTGTCCCCATTTATTCGTATCCTAAATCCTGAGACACCGCCCCCCCCGCCCCCCTTCCATTCTTTAACCAAGCCCCCCAAATGGCACCGTAACAATTTAGGGTCTGGAATAGATGGCTATTCATTTTTTTCTTGCGGGTAGAAAGGCTGGGGGCTTGGTCAGACTTGGGGAGGGCAAGGGGGGGATTTGGGGAGGGCAAGGGGGGGCGGCTGATGTTGTACGTCGAAAGATGGGTTTGTGTGCGTGCCGGGAATGCGCTTCCTGTTGTGTGTCTTGTGTTGAGCCCCTTTCAACATAGCTCCTCCACAAGTCTGACTGTATTGTCCGGTGCTTGGTTTGACTGCAGGGGGAATTTGTGTCCTATGGAGTGCGTGTGTGTTTGTGTGTGTCTATGTATAGGGAGGGGACAGGGAGGGTTTACGACTGCAGCTCCCATCCTCCTGCTCAGCCAGGGGAGCAGGGACCGATGGGAAAGGGAGTTGGCTGGGGTGGGGTGGGCCCATTTCTATGGAGAGAGAATCTGGAGTTCCAATCCAATTTCTGGAAAATTGGGGAGAGGGGGGTGGGAAACGATTCTTGCTGGGATCCCTCCTGTAGCCTCGCGGGGTGGGACGGGGGACGACAGGAGATGCTGTGCTTTTCAAGAACAGAGTCTGGGCCACGCCTGCTGGGGAACATGGGTTGTGTCCCCAAAGGCAGAAAAGCTGCTAGACACTGGAGCCTCGGGGCTGCGTTTTTGGGAAACCTGTAGCAGCCAAGGAAAAAAAACGCAGTGTTTTTTTTTAAAAAAACGTTTGTTTATTTATTTATTTATTTATTTAAATCATCACATCACCATCCTTCAGCCTCTTCTCCGCTCTCGGAAAGCCCTTGCGGTTTTTAAAGGGGGGGGGGGCGGGCAGAAAGAAAGGGGTTCAGAGGATCCCCATCGGGGTGCTTTCCTTTCCTCTCTCCCACCCCACCCCTCATCAGCAAGAAGGGTCCCCCTCCCCACTCACCTTCCTTCCCTTTGTAAAAAGCTGTCAAATCCTCAGACCTTCCGTCCCCCCCAGATGGAAACGGAGGGCCGGGACGGGGGGGGGGGACACGAGCATCCAGGAAGGCTGACACCCCCCCCGCCGCTCCCCTCGGCAGACGGGGGAGAGGGGGGTTTAGAGATCTGAGTGCATCTCACCCCCCCTCCTCTCACTTCACCGGAGTTTTTTGGGCTGCGAAAGCGAAGCTGGGCGAAAGTGGGGGGGAAGGACGCCGGGTCTGCCTGCAGAGCCCGGTGGTCGTACGGGAGGGTCGCCTCCTTGCATGGCAAACGAGCCCAAGAACGGACTGAGACTTCGGGAAAGCGCCCGCGGGCGTCCTTCCCCGACGGGACCGCTCCACAGTTGCTTCCGATCCTCTTCCTTTGGAGAGGAAGGGGTCTGCGGGGAGAAGCCCCCCACCCCACCCAATTGAAACGAGTCTTTGGGGTCGCAGGCCGTGGGGCTTCCCTGGGGGAGGCGACCCCCGTCACAAGGTGGGCTTTTAATCAGCCGGACCCCTCCCAAAGCCCCACCGACCCGTAGGGCAGAGCAAGAGAAGACTCTGGGGCAGCCCCCATCCCAGCTCCCCACCCCCGTCCTCCGCAGATCCCATCCTCCTCAGCTGACCTTTGAGCTGCGGACGATGGGGACACCCTCCGGGGTAGAGAACGGGTATCGCTGCGTCTCGGCCTCTTCTTGATTTCCCCCTCCTCCCCTTGAGCTTTGGGGGAAGGGTGGGGGGGAAGGAACCCCCTCCCCAGCCTTCCCACCACCTCAACTTTGCCAGAAAAAGCCGGGCGGGGAAGGGGGGGGGATAACTGGGAGACCCCGCTGAGTTCTCCTAGGGGCGAGATCGCGATCTCGGGGGCAGCCCTGCAGAGGAAGGCGCAAACGGGGAGGGGTGGGTGGGGGGTGGGGGGGGCGCCTCCTAGGCTGCCCCCTCCCTCCCCCATTGGCTTCCTCGCTGCCATCTCCCTGCCTTCAGCTCATGAATAAAAAGAGGCTTGGAGGGTAGGGTTGCGGGGGGGGGGCGGCAAGAAAGGAGAGGCAAGCTGCGGACGCCCCAACAGCCCGGCACAAGTCCTTCACGCCCAGCCTTGGCCGAAAGTTCCCTGGGTTTTTTTTTTTTTCCAGCAGATCCCCCCCCCAACTTCCCGCCTCCCGCCCCCAAAGTAGCACAAAATCAAAGGGAGCCGAGCCGGGGAGCCCTTTTCGGGAGACAAGAGAGACCGGCGGCGGTGGTTGCTCTGCCCGGGTGCCAGCTGCTGAATTGGGGCGCTGTCCCCCTCCCTTCCCCGACACCCCCTTAAGAAAAGCCTTGCCGCCAGTGCAAGGAAAGAAGCTCGGGGAGGGTCGCTCTGCCCCCTCCCACCCTCCCATCCCCATCCATCCATCCCTAGCAGCCTAGCCTCGCCTCGACTTAGGGGACCAAGAAGACTCCGGCGCTGACTTCGCCGCCGCTTCTTCTCCAACGAACCGGCAACCTGGACTGGAGCATGGCCGCCCTGCCCGGGACCGTACCCAGGATGATGCGGCCGGCGCCCGGGCAGAATTATCCCCGCACCGGATTTCCCTTAGAAGGTACGTGGTGGAACCCCGGGGAAGAAAAAGCCGAAACTGCCCGCCCCGGGACTCCTTCGAAAGAATCTCTCTCCTTTTTCCCAAATTTCTGGCTAAAATGCCTCTTTCACCCTCTCCCCTTCGGCGAGGGAGGGGGGGGCGCCGCCACATCCTCTCTCTCTCTCTCTCTCTCTCTCTCTTCCCCCCCCCACTCTTCTGGGGGAAGAAAACTCTTCGGACAAACAAAAAACAAAGTTAGCGCGTCGTTCGAAATTCCCAGCGGACTTCGAAAAAGAGGCCGCGAAAACGCCCGCGGGGACGACAACGCTGCTTCGGGGAGAGCCGGTGGGTTTCTTTCTGGTTTGGGCGGGGGGGGGGTCTTTCCAACCGGGTGTGTGTGTGTGCCTGGAGAAGAGCTGGGCGTTGGACTTTGGGGAGGGGGCAGCTTTGGGCTTTGGACCCCCTTCCCCCAAAAACCCCTCGTCCTGCCCATCGATACGAGCAGCTGGAGCCGCTTGGTATAAGAATCCGCGGAGGGTTGAGAACCCGGGAGAACACGCGCAAAATTTTGTCTTTTTGTTTTTTTTGGGGACGCAGAAGAGTTTGGTCGCTGCTCAAATCTCCTCTTAACCTTATCGGGGAGCTTTTTTTTCCCATAGTGTTTATTCGCAATTTATTGGCATCTTTTATTTTGTTTTAAGATTTGGATTGCTGAAGCGCGGGCGGTGGAAAGGCGGGCGCGCGTGGGCTTTCCAAATCTATCTATCTATCTATCTATCTATCTATCTATCTATCTATCTATCTATCTATCTATCTATCTATCTATCTATCTGTTGTTTCCTTTCTCTCCGAAAAAAAATCTTGGGGGAAAAAAAAGGGGGGGCTATTAATTCATGGGAAGAAGACTTTCTCTCCCCCTCCTCCCCAAGCCCTCCCGCGCCTCCGACCGTTTCTTGGCTGCCGTTCCTCCGCCCGCGGAATTAAAACAAACTCGGGGCTCCCATCCTGCATTTATTAAAGCAAATTGGGTGCCCCTCAAGCGTGCTCAAGTGGGAAGCCGGGCAGGGTGGCGAGGAAGGAGGGGAAGCCACGGCCGGCCGGCGAAAAAACACACACGACACGCGGCGGGGATTGGCGTGAAGTGGCTCTCCTCTGTAGCGAATGGAAAGGAAACAGTCCGGGCGAAAGAAAAAGGGATCAAAAGGGATTACCAAAATATTTGTGCATCGTGAGGGAGAATAATGACCGCGCGGCGGCGGCGGCGGCGGATGGTCCACTCGAGGCTTAGCCGTGGCTAATGAGGTATCACTCCGAGTGACTTCGAATTAGTGGCGCGTGATTCTTGATTAAACAGGCAGGCGAGGGTCTGGAAACGACTTTTTCTGCCTCAGAGGGGCAAAGACGCATTACACAAACCATTTTTTTTAAAAAAAAAATATTTATTATTATTATTATTATTATTATTATTATTATTATTAATATACTTTATTCATTAAACATGAATGAACTAAACTCAGAATGAGTTCATTCTGAGTTTAGAATAAATTCAGAATTTATTCAGAATGAATAAACATGAAAGTCAGTCAACTGAAACATTATTATTATTATTATTATTATTATTATTAATTTATTATATACTTTATTCATTAAACATGAATGAACTAAACTCAGAATGAGTTCATTCTGAGTTTAGAATAAATTCAGAATTTATTCAGAATGAATAAACATGAAACTCAGTCAACTGAAACCTTATTATTATTATTATTATTATTATTATTATTATTATTATTAATTATTATATACTTTATTCATTAAACATGAATGAACTAAACTCAGAATGAGTTCATTCTGAGTTTAGAATAAATTCAGAATTTATTCAGAATGAATAAACATGAAAGTCAGTCAACTGAAACCTTATTATTATTATTATTATTATTAATTTATTATATACTTTATTCATTAAACATGAATGAACTAAACTCAGAATGAGTTCATTCTGAGTTTAGAATAAATTCAGAATTTATTCAGAATGAATAAACATGAAACTCAGTCAACTGAAACATTATTATTATTATTATTATTAATTATTATATACTTTATTCATTAAACATGAATGAACTAAACTCAGAATGAGTTCATTCTGAGTTTAGAATAAATTCAGAATTTATTCAGAATGAATAAACATGAAACTCAGTCAACTGAAACATTATTATTATTATTATTATTATTATTATTATTATTATTATTATTAATAATAATAATAATAATTATACACAAACTTGACAGTATACACAGCAAACAAGATAACCATGCTGGATTTCATATCTCAAATCACTAGTCGAACACTTCCCAAGCGTTTAGGACTGTGTGATGTATCAGTGGATTATTATTATTATTATTATTATTATTATTATTATTATTATTATTATTATTATTATTATTATTATTACTGATTAATCTTTAGTGAGATTCACAGCCTTTGAGGCCGGTTAATAGCTCAGCAGCTCGAGTCCTAACCAAGGACCTAGGAACCGTTAAGGTATCGTCGGAGGATGTAAGCTGTTCCGAGTAAGGTGGTTTTTTGTAGAGTCAAAATGTTCAAGTCCGGCAAATTTAGAATTTCTAAATAGCGGGGCAGCCCTTTGGGTATTGCTCCAAGGGCTCCAATTACAATCGGGTTTATCTTTGGTGAGATTCACAGTCTTTGAGGCTGGTTAATAGCTCAGCAGCTTGAGTCCTAACCAAGGACCTAGGAACCGTTAAGGTATATGATAAAGTATATGATATCGTCGGAGGATGTAAGCTGTTCCGAGTAAGGTGGTTTTTTTGTAGAGATGATGATGATGATGATGATGATGATGATGATGATGATGATGATGATTACTATTACTATTACTATACACAAACTTGACAGTATACACAGCAAACGAGATGACCATGCGGGATTCCGTACCTCAAATCGCTAGTCGAACACTTCCCAAGCGTTTAGGACTGAGTGATGTATCGGGTGGATTATGCGAGCAGATCCCAGTACGGTGGTTTTCTGCAGCTGACCAATGATGATCTTGTCAGCGCCAATTGTTTTTAAGTGCTTGCCTAGGTTTTTAGGCACAGCACCCAGTGTGCCGAGTACCACTGGGACCACATGCACTGGTTTATGCCAGAGTCTCATTATTAGTATTATTAGTATTGGTTAATCTTTAGTGAGATTCACAGCCTTTGAGGCTGGTTAATAGCTCAGCAGCTCGAAACAAGGAAGCTTATGACAATGAATTATTATTATTATTATTATTATTATTATTATTATTATTATTATATTATTATTATTATTATTATTATTATTATTATTATACACAAACTTGACAGTATACACAGCAAACAAGATAACCATGCTGGTGGTGGTTGTCATTATTATTATTATTATTATTATTATTATTATTATTATTATTATTATTATTATTATTATTATTATTAGGCAGCCAGTGTGATAGGTTGGTTGGGATCTGGACCAGCCGGGATGAAAAAAAGGGCAACGAATTTGCACTAAAAGCCCCATGGCTTGCAAGAAGCCACCTGATTAATCGGACAGACTTTATATATATCTCCAAAAAAGGGGGGGGGAATTGAAATTTCTCCGGGGGGGGGAACCCCAACACGGGATAAATTTAACTCCGAAAGAAGAAGGAAAAAAGTGTCCCTAGCTCTCCTTTGAAAAATACAGAAAAGGAAGTTGGGTTCCGCCGGGCGGCTATTTTAAAATTCGTTTTAATTGTTGATGGTGTGTGGCCATCCGTTTTAATTTTATATAAATATATATATGTATGTATATATATTAAAATTAAGAAAGCGAGGCCCTTACGAAAATCTTAAGTTTTAAGGTTAGAGAAAATCTTGTTTTTAAAACGGAGTCCAAGCCGGCCCCGACAAAAGTAAATTCTGGGGTTTTGCTAGTTTTTTTTTTTCCTGTGGCTAAAGTAGAAAAACCAAAAGTGAGGGAAGAGTTTTAGAATGGCAAGAAGATTTTTTCAAATCTGTAGGGGGAAAAAACTGTGTCTGGAGAATGGGGTGGGGGGGAAGCTTTTTTTCATTTTGTGTTTTAGGATGCCCAACTTCTCCAACCGAAAGCGAGAACCAGGTGTTGGTAAAAAAAAGACGGCAACCAGATGTGTACGCTGGGTGCACAGCTGGAAATAAAAACAACAGCAACTCTGGGGAAAACCTTTCTAAACCTTTACATTTAGGTGAAAAGCAGAGGAGGGGAAGCGGGAGATGGCCGCTCACTCCGGAGATGCTCAGGGGGGCAATAAAACCTTGGTTGAATTTGTGTCACAACCAGGACTGACACCAAAGGGACTCTGGGGTAGCAGAGGGAGGAATGAAAAGGCAGGTTTTTGCACACCCACATCAATTAAACGAGGTAGTGTTAAGTGCGCACTCTGGTTTGCTTAAAGAGTGGGCATCTTGGACATAACAGTATTCAGCAGTCTGGCAAAAAGTGAGGCGATATAATAATGCTTCATGGTACGGTCAACCAGATGTTTAGACTTGATTTTTGTCCATCTATTGAGTCCTTCCCAACAACCTGGGATGATGATGATGATGATGATGATATTATTATTATTATTATTATTATTATTATTATTATTATTATTATTATTATTATTATTATTTACTTTATTCATGAAACATGAAACTCAGTCAACTGAATATTCAAAAATGCATCACAATTATTATTATTATTATTAATATTATTATGTTCATTAAACATGAAACATTATTATTATTAACTTTTATTCATTAAACATGAAACTCAGTCAATTGAACATTTAAAAATGCATCACAAATACCATTGACTGGTGCTAATGGTTGATACGGATTGCTGCCAGCATCCTAGGTATTATTCTCTTTTTTTTAATTATTATTATTATTACTATTATTATTATTATTATCATCATAATTATCATCATCATTATCATTGTGACTTATTATCATTGTAAGGGCTCGCGTGCCTGAAAAGCTAGTTGTTGGCAGAAAGTTTTCCCAATTTCCCCCTTTTTAGATGTTACTGGATGCATTTTAATTTTTCCCCAAAAAGAGTTTTTTTTTCCGTTTTCATTTGCAAGTTGCAAAACACAAAACAGAACAGGGTTTTTTTCTCTCCTTTCTTTGAAAGGGGTAATCTATTTTGCCATGTTTACCCGTCCGTCCGTCCGTCCGTGGGTTCTGCGTTTGGGGTTTTTGCAAAATTTAGCGAATCAACCGAAAGGAGAAAAAGGATGTCTCGTTGGCTTCTCCAACGAGGGGTTTGTCCTGGTGTAGTAGATTCAGCAGCGCTCTCTCTCTCTCTCTCTCTCTCTCTCTCTCTCTCTCTCTCTCTCTCTCTCTCTCTCTCTCTCTCTCTCTCTCTCTCTGCGCCCCGGACTACCTTGGTGGATTGGGCCCCCCCTAGATGGATGGCTAGCTCTGCGTTTGTCACGAGAGGCTCCTTCGGACTCCGCCGATTTCTCCTCCTAAAAAAGAGTTTGGAGAGGCAGCAGAGGCGCCCCTTCCTTTTCCCCCAAAGCCCCTCCGGTGGAATACCCATGGGGGTGGGGGTAGGGGGTGAGAACAGGAAAAAAGAACAGAGAAGGAACTGTCTTCACACCCCAAATGCCAACTCTTAAAAGCAGACTCTGGAAGGGGACGGCATACACAAGAAGAGTTGAGGTGCAGGGTCGTCGTAGTTCCCCCCTCCTCCTCCTCTGTGTTTGGTAGGAAGAGGAGACCCCTGGGACCGAGGAGAGGAGGCATCCCCCACCACCCCACCACCCAAGCCATTAATCAGGGGGCTTTTAATGGCTGCAACTGCATAGCCCCACCTCATCCCCTCCAATTGTCTCTAATCCCCGTTCCTGCGAATAGGGCAGGGTACTTCTTTTTTCTAAAGGGAGAGGGAGGGAGGGAGGGAGGGAGAGAAGTCTGCATCTTCCTGGTAAAACCAGTGCTGGTTGCTGGGGGGCTCCGGGCACCTGGAGTCCGTCGTTCTGCCCTTCCAAAAAGATAATGCAAAGTATGTGCAGAGACCGGGTGGATGGGAAATGCAGCTAGTAGAAATTGTGTTGTGGGGTGGGGGGCCAGCATTTTGGAAATTGAAGCTGCCCCCCCCTCACTCTCCCCAGGATTGGTGAGGGCGCAGCTGCTTTCGCGCCCCTTTTTTCTGTCTGGAGAATCCCTCCAAGGAGGAGCAGAGGGGAGAGAGGAGAACCTCTCCCCCCCACTTTGCAGTTTTCCACCTGGAAGAACTGACATACATTCCCCCCCCTAAAAGTGGGCAGGGGGAAGCAAACGTTGGCTGCTCCCCAGGAAAGAGGAGGGGGGGTCTCTCGTTTGGATGTTCTTCACCATCAGCTTTACAGCAAGATGGTTGAGCTGCCATCGGAAGTCCGCCGAGAGGCGTCGAGAGGCGTCGTGGTCTTCAGAAGGAAGCTGTGGGGGAGGGGTCTCCGGGGTCTTGACTGGACCCTTCCCCAATTCTCAAGCCAGAAGCCGAGCTACCGAGCCATCTCCGACTACCTTTATCAACTTCCACGGGATTTTGCAAAGGGAGGGATGATTGATGCTGTGTAGTCTAGGGGCTAAGAAGGGGCAGCCCTTGTAGACTGGGCAGGTTACACCTTGACGCCTTTCCCCCTTTCCCTCCCTCCCCCCTGCAGTCTCAACCCCGCTGGGCCAAGGGCGAGTCAACCAACTTGGAGGCGTCTTCATCAATGGGCGGCCCCTGCCCAACCACATCCGTCATAAGATTGTCGAGATGGCGCACCATGGCATCCGGCCCTGTGTCATCTCTCGCCAGCTGCGGGTCTCCCACGGCTGTGTCTCCAAGATCCTTTGCCGGTACCAAGAAACAGGATCCATCCGGCCGGGAGCCATCGGTGGCAGCAAGCCCAGGGTGAGTGAAGGACCGAGAGGGAGGGCAGTGGTGAACCCCCCCCAGAAGCTGACCAGGTGAGGAGAGGCCATTCTGGGGTTTATGCCACTCCCTTGCCTTTGATTGGCAGGGAGAGGAGGGGGAATGTCAAGGACTTGGGTGGCGGCCCTTGGAGTAAGATCTGCTTAGCGTGATGGAGCAGCTTCCTGCTGCCATCCCATACTCAAAGGCTCAAATTTCCTCTTGAATAGACCTCAGGACAATCTGGCCTCTCCCTTGAAGAGGAAAAGCATCCTCTACTCCTGTCCTTTCTTAAGAAGGAGAAGGAAGGGTGACTGATCCAACCTTCTTGAGAAGTTGGCCTTCTAGGTTGAGCGTGGAATGGACTTCCCCAGCTCAAACCAACTTGGCAGTCCATTGGTAGCCTGTAGAACTTGAATTTAAAAGTGCATTTTTGTTCTCTCCCTTCCTCTCTCCCTCCCTCCCTCTCTCTTTTCTCTGTTCTCTCTCCGTTTCTCCCTCTCTTCCTCTTCACCCACCCACCCTTCCTTCCTTCCTCTCTCTTTTCTCTGTTCTCTCTCCATTTCTCCTTCTCTTCCTCTTCACCCTTCCTTCCTTCCTCTCTTTTCTCTGTTCTCCCTCCATTTCTCCCTCTCTTTCTCTTCACCCTTTCTTCCTTCCTTCCTCTCTCTTTTCTCTGTTCTCCCTCCATTTCTCCTTCTCTTCCTCTTCACTCTTCCTTCCTCTCTCTTTTCTCTGTTCTCCCTCCATTTCTCCCTCTCTTTCTCTTCACCCTTCCTTCCTTCCTCTCTTTTCTCTGTTCTCCCTCCATTTCTCCTTATCTTCCTCTTCACCCTTCCTTCCTTCCTCTCTTTTCTCTGTTCTCCCTCCATTTCTCCTTCTCTTCCTCTTCACCCTTCCTTCCTCTCTTTTCTCTGTTCTCCCTCCATTTCTCCCTCTCTTTCTCTTCACCCTTTCTTCCTTCCTTCCTCTCTCTTTTCTCTGTTCTCCCTCCATTTCTCCTTCTCTTCCTCTTCACCCTTCCTTCCTCTCTCTTCTCTGTTCTCCCTCCATTTCTCCTTCTCTTCCTCTTTACCCTTCCTTCCTTCCTCTCTTTTCTCTGTTCTCCCTCCATTTCTCCTTCTCTTCCTCTTTCTTTACCCTTCCTTCCTTCCTTCCTCTCTCTTTTCTCTGTTCTCCCTCCATTTCTCCTTCTCTTCCTCTTCACCCTTCCTTCCTTCCTCTCTCTTCTCTGTTCTACCTCCATTTCTCCTTCTCTTCCTCTTTACCCTTCCTTCCTTCCTTCCTCTCTTTTCTCTGTTCTCCCTCCATTTCTCCTTCTCTTTCTCTTCACCCTTCCTTCCTTCCTTCCTTCCTTCCTTCCTTCCTTCCTTCCTTCCTTTCCTTCCTTCCTCTTGACCCCAAAAGCAGGTTGCCACTCCAGACGTGGAGAAAAAAATCGAAGAATACAAGCGGGAGAATCCTGGCATGTTTAGCTGGGAGATCCGAGACCGGCTACTCAAAGATGGCCACTGTGACAGGACCACGGTCCCTTCAGGTGAGAAGGAAGCCAGACCGTAGAGTTAAGGTTTTTCAATTCTGTATTTCCGGCCCCCAGCTCCACAGTGGCAAACATCCTTCAGCTTAAGGAGGAAAACCTTGTAACAGGACTTCACTCCGTTTAACCCAACTTCCTTCATGAGTGTGAGTTTGAGCCAACTCACCACAAATTCTTGAGCCACAACATCTGGAACTTCACTTTGCGTTAACCAACCCAAACCATATATTTAATTTTGGGCTCAGCACTGTGTAGGCTCAGAATATTGGGTTAATTGAAGATGGAGCAAAGTCCTAGCAACTTAGCCCAGGTATATTTCTATCCACTCTACAGAAGTCCTCTTGGCTTTTCAGAAACTTTCTTTAATCTTCACCAGAATTTGGGCTGTACCATTTCAGCCTGGGAGTAAAAGCATTTTCCTTCAGCCATAGATTTTCCGATGAGGTTCACATCCCTGGAGAGCAAACTAGGACCATTCTTGGTAGACAATGGCATGGGCCACATTCAGACATGACTTTCTAACATCTGAAGAAGTTTGAATCTAGAAAGCCATTTCAGCTTCTTCTTTATCGTCGGTTATGGTTGACATTTTAAATGGAGATCCGTAGCCAACCTCTTTAGCCTAAACTTCAGTGTAGTATTATCAAAATGGCAATATATATATATATATATATATATATATATATATATATATATATATATATATATATATATATATATTTCCCCCTCGCTTGCAAGTCAGATTTTTTTTTATCGCGGCCATTTGAAGACGATGTCCCTTGCAGAAAAAACTAAAAACTTGCTTTTTAACATTTTGAATTTGTTCTCCTCGTAAGAAAACAAAATCAAGGAAAAAAAAAAAAAAAGAGGAGACCATTGAAAAAAAAAAGCAGGCATGCGAAGAGAAAGAGGGAGGCCCAGAAAAATTTCTAGGGCCCTGCCTGAAATGGTTTGGCTGGAGAACCGGCTTAAAGTCCAGTCTTACTCTGATGCAAATAAGCATCAGCAACAAGATGTTCAAGATAATTTCCTTGCAGGAATGTCTACTGAACACCTCTCTTTTACAACGTGCGTATTCACACATGTGGGTTTTTTTTTTTTTTAATTTACAATGAAAGATGGATTGCTAAGCTTCCCACAGACCCTTAAGAAATAGGAAGGAAACCTCACTTGATTATTAATATATGTGTTCAGTGATCCATGCGGAGTTTATCTCACCTTCTGGAAAGAAGGCCTGTCGACAGTAAGCAGAACGTTTAAAAAAACAGTAATCTTAACTGACAACCAAAATATGAGCCTCCAACCATTTCAAAAGCCACTTGTGGTCTCTATCCCACACTGATGTATTTATTAGGACCGAGGTTTGTTAAAAGGCAGGAAAGGTTTCTGAGATGCTCCGAGGGAGCTGATCTCTCTCTTTTTCTTTTTTCTTTTTTTTCAATTTTCTCTAGGCCTTGATAGCCCTTCTGGGTCTCTCCCCCACACCCCACCCCGTTTGTTTCATGGTTCTGCTTTTTATCCTGAAAATAATCACTTGCAGGCAAGGGAATCGGAGATCCTGTAGCAAAGTGGGGAAAAAAAGATTCGCGTTGGGCTGCGGTATGTGTGTGTATTTGTTGACTACAAGTGCATTCAAAACCCCGCTCCTGTTGCTTGTCATCTTATTCCTTCTTCGTTAGCATTTGCCGCCTGAGAATATTAATTGTGCGCAATAAATAAATCAATCAGCCCTCCTGAGCCTCTTGACACAGGAACAGATAATATTGTCGCGTCCAAGAAAGCACCATGTTTACTCAAGAAGGAATTATCCTTCAAAACGGCAGGGGATTAAATAGCAATGTGTAAAGGCGGCTGTTTTATTTTAGACGGGTGGCATTTACAGAAGCGCGGGACGTATTAATAATCCATCACAATTAAATAGGTAGCTGAAGCACTTAGGCCTGGTGAGTTTCCGTGGGTTTGTTGTTTACCTATCCAATTTGATTTCTGGCTCCGTCCTTCGAGTGTTTGGAGCACCATTTTTTCTTGTGTGTGCGCATGCAGCTTCGAAGGATCTGGAGTTGTGTGACTGCAGCGTGACTCTGAGTGGCTTACCATTTCATGGTGCAAAAATATAAATAATAATTACAAAACAGAGAAGTCAAAATATGTTTCCGTTGGTTGCCAACCGCCCTCCTCCAGGGATTCTGACTTCAACATTTGGCCAAAAGTTTGACCAGGAAGAGGCATGGATGATATTCAGTTGTCTGTTTCTTTGGGTGTTTCTAAAATGACATCTTAAGAGTTTGGTGGCACCCTTGAAGTCCGCTGCATCGATAGAAGCCTCCAAACCAGAAGCAAACATAAACTTCCGTGTGGGAACATCTCCTCAGCTTCCAGACATGATCATTTTAGGAAATGCTATGGATGAATTAAACAATGCATCTTGAGTTTGTTTTTTGTTTTTGTTTTGGCATGGAATTATTTTCAGTCAGCATGCCAGCTGAGAACCATCGTTCTTCTGAATAGCGGAGAGAAGGTGGCCTTCAGCCAAATGGATTGAGGTGTCCTGCTTTCACAGGGTCTTGGAGGTGGCCTCTGGACAGGGAGGCAGATAACCAGGTGTAGAAAGGAACTAATCCATTTGGGTTGGCCATTGAATGAATTTCTTGATTGGCTCAGATCTTCAGCCAAAGGACAGGCCTTCCTCCCCACAAGCTGCCAGCCCAACAACCTCAGATTGGTCAACCGTGTTAATGTTTCTAGTGTTAATGGCCAAACCAGCACCCCGAAGATGCTGTGACCATCTAAAATCTGGATCATGGGTCGGCAACCTTAAATACTCAAAGAGCCACAATCGGAATCCCTCCCCCCCCCCAAACGGTCAATTCTGGAGCCGACCGGAAGTTGGATTCCCCTCACCATAGAGTCTCTTCCTAGCACAGTGTCCTTTTTCCTCTACCTGTCCTAACCACAAGGCCTATTAATTGTGGAGCCAATCCGGCGACAGGGAGCCGCAGCAGAAAGAGCCACATGCGGCTCCAGAGCCACGCGGGTTACCGACCCCTGACCTAGATGAAGCCGGAATCTTGTCATGATTTTGCCTAACTTTTCTCCAATTCCAGACCACTGTTTTTTTGGGTGGGCTTCTCCTGGCCCCCCTTTTCCCTTCCAAAGCAGCTTATATGTTCTTCTTCTGTCTTTGACTGTCTGAGGTTTAGTGAGTTCGATTAGCCGTGTGCTCCGAATCAAGTTCGGGAAGAAAGAGGAAGAGGAGGACCACGAGAAGAAAGAGGAAGACTGCGAGAAGAAGGCCAAGCACAGCATCGATGGCATCTTGGGTGACAAAGGTAGGCGTTGCTTAAAAAGAAAGCCCCCTCCCAAAAAATCTTTGTCTTTTTTTTTAAAAGTTTAGACGTTCCCCTTTCAATGTCCCTGCACTGTTTCTTCCTGAGTAAATGAAATTCACATCACGTTTCCTACTTGCGATGCCTTTCTATATATCCCACTTTACTTTTTACTCTATTAATTTATTTTCTTCCCAATGATCGGTAGAAATTTCTATAACTATCAGTTTCTTGGATACTTTCAAGATTTTCCTTCTCTAAAGAAATGTGTACTTTTATAAATTTAAGGTTTTTTTTTCCCCTTGCTGATTTGATAATGGATGCCTCAAGAAAAAGCCATTTGTCTGAACTGGTCTAAGGCAGGGATTCTGCAACCTTAAGCACTCAAAGAGCCATTTGGACCCGTTTCCCACAGAAAACACAGGGAGTCACAAAAACCCTTCCGGTGCCTGACGATTTCTTGAGCAGCCATAAAACTAGCATATGTAGTTGAAGTAAACATTTTGTTTTCTTCTGAAACTTTTCTCTTCTTGGATTTATCCATGGTTGGCCTACTGGGGGTTGAAAAGCTCAATAAATTGTGTACTGGCGGGTGTCGCACATTGGTGGTTGTGACGCCTATTTTGAGTGCCAGGGAGCTGCAGCAGAGGGGTGAAAGAGCCACATCCGGCTCCAGAGCCACAGGTTGCTGACTCCTGTTCTAGGGTTTCCTGCCTGAGCAGGGGGTTGGACTAGAAGACCTCCAAAGTCCCTTCCAACTCTGTTGTTTTGTATTCTGTTCCGTTTGTTATTGGTCTGCATTAAATTCTGCACACGGGACTCTTTGAGTTATCTAGATTTCTACTTTACCGGATTCCCCTGAGAGGCTATTTTTCTGTGGTTGGGGAAGAGGCAGTTTTCACACAAGGAACCACTGCACGATGCCTTTGTCGCGATGTTGAAATTGTTGTTTTGTTGCAGCACTTAAACAAAAATAAGTATACTTGTTTCCAAGCAAGTTCGCTCATCCCGGTGGCTAGCTCAACAGAATACTTCCGTTTAAATCGTATAAGAATTGTTGGCTCCCTGCCCCAAGCAGCTTACAATTTCACGACAGAGAAATCGGTGTAAAACAACGAACAAGAATCAGTTGTGCATAGGGGTGTGTTTGGTTTCAATTTGGATCTGCAGTTTGCAAAATGTTATATATTTTTGAGGAAATCAGTTGTTTGCTTTTAATCTACGAAGACATTCTCAGACAGGTGACATTTAAGATAGAATAAGGTATTATTACTTTCTCAAAGGTATTTCTCAAATGCCTTTGAGAAAGTAATAAAATCTTGGATGTCTTTTTCCAACACCTTTAAGGAATTATAAATATTAACAACATTGGAACTATACAAAATCTTGGGTAGTATCGATACAAGACTCCCCCCCCCCGCAAAATATTTTAAAGCTCTAAGAAATCAGATTTTTTTTTAAAAAAAAGTACAGCATATTTAAGACCAATTTACCTCTTTCTCTACCTGTTTCATATTCTAGAAGACCATCAGGGTTAGTATATTTTCTGATTTTTTTTAAAAAAAAACCTTAGCAGAAATTAATACATTTTTTAAAAAAAATTACTTATTTTATAATTTATTTTGCATTGGCAGTTGAGGCCTAGAGTTATTAAACACACTTCTTCATTCGCTCAACTGGGGCACTGTATAAGTTTTTGAGACAGTTGGGATTTTAGAAAATTTTTACATTTCCTTTCCCAAGTCGAGGCCAAAAAGCCTGCAAACTGGGGGGGAGGGGGAGGATTTTTTTTTTTTTAAATTCTATTTCACACTTTAAAAAACCATGTTTGATTTCATAATAATGAGAACCAACAAAATTAAATATTTATAATAAACTCTTAAATTCTTGAATGTGGGGGAGAGAGAAACAGAGAGGGGGGAAAAAGAGAGAGAAGGGAAAAAGAAAAAGAAAAAGAGAGAGAGAAAGAAAGAGAAAGGGGGAAAAGAAAAAGAGAAAAAGAGGAAAAAGGGAAAAAGAGGGAGAGAGAGAAGGGAAAAAGAAAAAGAAAAAAGAGAGAAAGAAAGAAGGGAAAAAGTAAAAGAGAGAAAGAGAGAGGAAAAAGGAAAAAAGAGAAAGAGAAAGAGAGAGAGAGGAAAAAGGGAAAAGGGAAAGAAAAAAGAGAGAAAGATAGAAGGAAAAAAGAAAAGAGAAAGAGAGAGAGAGATGAAAAAGGGAAAAAGAAAAAGAAAGAGAGAAAAGTGAAAAAGAGAAAGAGAAAGAGAGAAAGAGGAACAAGGGAAGAAGAAAGAGAGAGGGAGAAGGGAAGAAGAAAAAGAAAAAAAGAGAGAAAGAGAGAGAGAAAAGGGAAAAAGAGAAAGAGAGAGGAAGAGAAAGAAAGAAACACATCCTGAGATAAGTTTTAGATATTAACAAATACACAAACGGCACGCTTCTTCCTAAGGACTTCCGCCTTGGTTTTCTTTTTTAAAGAAAATCATAAAACGATTCGGAAAGGCAGGATCGGCAAGGACCGTTTCCACATCTGACACAATGCTGAGCATCGCGAAGTGTCCCAATCAGTCCCACCTAAGTCGTTTTGTTTTATTTTCAAAAGCCAAATCAATCCCGTGCAAGTCGTTTTATTATTTTTATTTTCCAAAATCAAACAAAAGGAAGCCGAAAAGGGAAAGGGGGGGGGGAAGGCTGGGAAATAGGGAAGGAAGGGGGGAGGCAGGGGAAAGGGGTTTTTTTCCCCTCTTCCCCGCAATTTCACTCCGAGAATTACGGATAAAATTGGAAGAGACGCAAATTGGCCCCCAGAGGGAAATCTCTTGTCCTTTTCTTTCTTTCTTTCTTTCTTTCTTTCTTCTTTCTTCTCTCTTTCTTTCTTTCTTTCTTTCTTTCTTTCTTTTCTGTCTGTCTTTCTCTTTCTTTCTTTCTTTCTCTTTCTGTTTCTTTTTCTTTCTTTGTCTTTTTCTTTCTTTCCTTCTTTCTTTCATTCTCTTTCTGTCTTTCTTTTTCTTTCTGTCTTTTTCTTTTTCTTTCTGTCTTTTTCTTTTCTTTCTTCCTTCTTTCTTTCTTCCTTCCTTCCTCTTTCTTTCTTTCTTTCTCTTTCTGTCTTTTTCTTTCTCTTTTTCTTTTCTTTCTTTCTTTCCTTCTTTCTTTGTTCTCTTTCTGTCTTTCTTTTTCTTTCTTTCTTTTTCTTTCTTTATCTTTCTTTCTATCTCTTTGTTTCCTTCCTTCCATCCTTCCTTCTTTCTTCCTTCCTTCCTTCCTTTCCTTCCTTCCTTCCTTCCTTCCTTCCTTCCTTCCTTTCTCTTTTTCTTTCTTTCTCTTTCTTTTCTTTCTTTCCTTCTTTCTTTCGTTCTCTTTCTGTCTGTCTATCTTTTTCTTTTTTTCTTTCCTTCCTTCCTTCTTTCTTTCTTCCTTCTTCCTTCCTTTCTTTTTTTTGGAGGGGGTGGGAAAGCTTGACTGATCTTTAAAGACCAAATCTCGAAGGCCGCTAATCAAAAATGAAAAAGAGGTGTTTAGAAAAGAATTCCGGGCGAAAGGGAGTGGGTGGGGGGCATCGTGCGTGGCGAGGCCCACCAAGGTGTTGATGCGTTGTGTTACCAAATTGAGAGCAGTATGTGTGTGTGTTTAAATTGTGTGGGGGGGGGTTTAGAGGGGGATTTGGACTTTTTTTTCTTTTTTCTTTTTTAAAGTTGAAAGGGGGGGCGGGGGTCTCCGGCTGGGAAGCGGAGTCACTACGGATCACTTGCTTTGAGAGCCGCCGCGCACGCCTGCCTAAATGGCTCTGTTAAAGAGATCAATTCCGCTGCCTGTGTTGCTTCTCCTGGTTTTTTTAAACGGTCCCCAGGAACCTCCCGTGACAGCTGACGGATGCTGGGGTGGGGTGGGGGGGCGTGGGGGGGAGAGACGGGACAGGGGACATCAGATTCAATTATTTGTGAATATCGTTCGGGGAAGGGAGGGGGAGGCATCCAGGAGAGACGCCCGTTAAATTCTCTCTCTTTCTTTTTTTTTTTATAAGAAAACGGATTCTGCCTGCATTGGGGTGGGGGGAGGTCAGACGAATTTAGGGGGTCGTCTTGCAATCGAATGGAACCCTAGCCCCCTTCTCTCTCTTTCTCTGTCTGTCTGTCTCGCTTTCTTTTTCTTTCTTTCTTTCTCTCTCTCGTTCTTTCTCTCTCTCTTGTTCTTTCTCTCTCTTTTTTCCTCTTTCTTTTTGCTCTCTCTTTCTCTCTCTCTCCCCCTTTCTCTCCCTCTTTCTCCCTCTCTGTCTTTCTCTTTTTTCTCTTTTTCTTTCTCTTTTTCTCTTTCTTTCTTTCTCTCTCTCTCTTTGTCTTTTTTCTCTTTCTCTTTCTCGTTCTCTCTCTCTCCCTTTCTCTCCCTCTTTCTCCTTCTGTCTTTCTCTCTTTTCTCTCTCCCTCTCTGTCTTTCTCTCTTTTCTTTCCCTTTCTCCCCCTCTATCTTTCTCTCTTTTTTCTTTCTCTCTCTCTCTCTCTCTTTCTCCCTCTCTGTCTTTCTCTTTTCTCTCTCTCTCTCTCTCTTTCTCCCTCTTTCTCTCTTTTTTCTCTTTCTCTTTTTTCTCTCTTTCTTTCTCTTTTCTCTCCCTATCTCTCCCTCTGTCTCCCTCTCTGTCTTTCTCTCTTTTTTCTCTCTTTTTTCTCTATTTCTTTCTCTCTCTCTTTCTGTCTTTCTCTCTCTTTTTCTCTCTCTCTCCCTCCCTCTCTTTTCTTTTTCGCATCTCTCAAAGGGAAAAACTACTTTTTTTAAAAAAAGAAAAAACCGTTTGTCTCTCCCCCCCCCCCGACTTTTTCAAAACGCCCCTTCCCTATTTCGTTTGTGGGGGGGGGAGGCGGCGGGCGAAGAGAGAGAGAGAGAGAAGGCATCTCCGCGATTTCGCGTTTGGCCGGCCGGCCTTTTCTGTTCCAGCCGGCCGACGTGGGTGGAAACAAAACCCCCTTTTCGTTTGGGGAGTGGGGGGGGGGGTCGCGAAAGGGATTTTGCGGGTCGCCAAGGGAAGGTTTCCCCCCTGGCCAAGGCGGGCTTCTCTTGCCGCCGGGACCCTCGCCAAGAAGCGGCCAGCCTTTTCTCCTTCGGGAAAAGGCTGGCCAAGGAAGCCCCTCTGCCCCCGACCCTCCGGCCCGGCTCGGCTTGAGCGGCTGCTGAAACCCCTCCGGGACGGGTCGGAAAGACCCCCGGGAAGGACTTCCCCAAAGACTTTGGGACGCTCGGTTGGCGGCCGGTGGGAAAAGCCCGGCCAATCCGGCGTTACGGTCTCTCCGGGGCCGATAGTGGGGAGGGGGGCGCAGGGAACCTCGAGGTCCGGCGTCGGGGCAGCCGAGCCCCCCTCCTCCTCTTCCTCCTCCTCTTCTTCCTCTTCCTCCTCCTCCTCCTGTTCCTCCTCCTCTTTTTCTTCGTCTCCTCCTCTTCCTCCTCCTCTTCCTTCTCTTCTTTTTCGTCTCCTCCTCCTCCTCTTCTTCCTCTTCCTTCTCCTCCTCTTCCTCCTCCTCTTCCTTCTCTTCTTTTTCTTCGCCTCCTCCTCCTCCTCTTCTTCCTCCTTCTCCTCCTCTTCCTCTTCCCTCTTCTTTTTCTTCATCTCCTCTTCTTCCTCCTCTTCCTCTTCCTTCTCTTCTTTTTCTTCATCTCCTCTTCTTCCTCCTCTTCCTCTTCCTTCTCTTCTTTTTCTTCGTCTCCTCCTTCTCTTCCTCCTCTTTTTCTTCGTCTCCTCCTCCTCTTCCTCCTCCTCCTCTTCTTTTTCGTCTCCTCCTCCTCCTCTTCTTCCTCTTCCTTCTCCTCCTCTTCCTCCTCCTCTTCCTTCTCTTCTTTTTCTTCGCCTCCTCCTCCTCCTCTTCTTCCTCCTCCTCTTCCTCTTCCCTCTTCTTTTTCTTCATCTCCTCTTCTTCCTCCTCTTCCTCTTCCTTCTCTTCTTTTTCTTCGTCTCTTCCTCTTCTTCCTCTTCTTCTTCCTCCTCCTCTTCCTCCTCTTCTTCCTCGGCCGCCGGCTCTCCCCCTCCCCGCTTCCCCTCCGCCGCCGCCGAGTTGTTGAACTTCGGGGGGGGGGGCGAGAGGCGGCCGGCGCCGTCTGTTTTGGGGCGGGGGGAGGCTGGGCGGGCCCGGGGC